TGGTTAAATAAACGTTGCATCTCCACACAAGAGAATACTACACAGCCATGACAAAAAACAAGGAGGCTGTTTTCATTGTTGAATGAAAAGTCCAACGTGCGCAACAGTGTGATACGCCTTCTGAAAAAAAAAAAAAAAAAAAAAGGTCTGAGAAGACTGTATTTGCCATTTGTATAATCTCTGGAAGGGTAAACAAAAACTGATAAAAGTGCTCCTGTGTGTGTGTGTGTGTGTGTGTTAAGAGAAACTGGGCAGATGAGGGAGAGGAAAGAGGTGAAAACTTTTCTCTGTGCACCTTATATTTGCTGATTTTTTGAAACACATGACTATATTACCTATTCACAATAAATTAAAAGGCAAGGGAAGAGTGGTGGTGGCAAGCAAACAAAACCTCTAAAAAGAAGTCCCAGGGGCCGGGCGCAGTGGCTAACTCTTATAATCTTAGCACTTTGAGAGGCCAAGGTGGGCAGATTGCCTAAACTCAGGAGTTCGAGACCAGCCTGGGCAACATAGTGAGACCTTGTCTCTACTGAAAATACAAAAAATATGCCGGGTGTGGTAGCGTGCACCTGTAGTCTCAGCTACTCAGGAGACTGAGAAGCAGGAGAATCCCTTAAACCTGGGAGGCAGAGGTTGCAGTGAGCCAGGATCACATCATTGCACTCCAGCCTGGGCAAGAGCAGGACTCTGCTTCAAAAAAAAAAAAAAAAAAAAAATTAGCTGGGTGTGGTGGTGGGCACCTGTAACCCTAGCTACTTAGGAGGCTGAGGCAGGAGAATCACTTGAACCTGGGAGGCAGAGGTTGCAGCGACCTGAGATCGCGCCACGGCACTCCAGCCTGGGTGGCATCGCAAAGACTCCATCTCAAAAAAAAAAAAAAAAAAAAGCCCCAGAACCAGACATCCTCTAAGCACTTGATTCTGTTCATTTCTGAGCTTAGCCTTGAGCTTAGAGCCAAGTGGAAACTAATTACACATTTTGGGAGTTCACATTAAACTTCTTCTTTTTAAAATTATTATTTTTGATACAGAGTCTTGCTGTCACCCAGGCTGGAGGGCAGTGGCATGATCTCGGCTCACTGCAACCTCCACCTCCGGGGTTCAAGCAATTCTCAGCCTCCTGAGTAGCTGGCACTACAGGCATGTGCCACCATGACCAGCAAATTTTTGTATTTTTAGTAGAGATAGGCTTTTGCCATGCTGGCCAGGCTGATCTTGAACTCCTGGCCTCAAGCGATCTGCCAGCCTTGGCCTCCCAAAGTGCTGGGATTACAGGCGTGAGCCACTGTGCCATGCCTGAATTTCTCCTTTGAAGGAAGATCTGAGTGTAAAAGCAGGGAATGTCTTTATTTAAAAAAATGAAAAACTAAAGCTAAAACAAAATAACAATCACCTTTGCCACCTCCATTTGAGAGAATA